ATCTATCTATAAATTTTATATATACTAAAAAAAAAAAAATAGGAATTCATATAAACTTATCAGCTGTATGCCCGATCAACATTTGCAATTATTTAAATAATTATATTCGACCTGAAGCTAATTTAAAAATCAATGCCTGGAAAAAGTTTAAAATTTAAATGTGATCTCATTTTCACATCATAAAAAAAAAAAGAAAACTTTTTATATAATATCCTAAAGCCCTTTATTTGCATAAAATACGCCCAAGTTTAAGCAGCTATATTGCTGCCGCCTCGACTCGCTTCTGTTTTGATTTGCCATGAACCCTGAAAGTTAATCCTTGGACGCAATCAATTTGTGAAGCACAGCTCTTCAGCTATTTTCACCTGTCTGTGGCCGTGGCAACTAAGTGCGTTATTTTGGCTGCTGCATGAACAATAAAATTTTATACATGTTTAAGTTTTGCATGTGTGTGCCGGTGTGTACATGTGTGTGTAAGTGTGTGTGCTCTGGCAAATTTTTGTTAACGTCCGCAGTTTGGCCACCATTTGGAGCACTGGCAACTGAGGAACTTTGTGCAGTACGCAGCAAAACTTTTATCCAAATGCAGCAAATACCCAGAGCCAAAGCCAAAGGCAAAGCCAAAAGCTAAAGCTAAAGCTGTAGCCGTGGTCGAGTCGGAAGTCCAGGGCCATCAACAGCAAACTGTGTGGAATAGGAGGGGGTGGGCAGCATAAAATTGCAGCGACTACAAAGTGGTTATTTTGTTTGAAGTAATCCACAAGAAGTCGTTAAAACTGTCGTTGGCTCCTAGATTGATGATGGTTTCACGTGTCCAATGCAGCAGCCAGTCAGCCAGTCAGCTAGGCAGCCAGCCATTGCTGAGCCTCGCTTTATCCTGCAGCCATGTACCGCTGCTATTTATGATAAAGTGTGTTACCCTGTCTGTATGTGTGTGTGTGTGTGGGTGATGTGCCAAGGTAAAGCTGTGCAGTTGGTTGAATGCACTTGAAAAACTTCACATGAGCTGCTGCTATTGCTCCTTCGGCTGCTGCTGCTGCTGTAGAATACATTTTGCAGAGCGATTACCAAGCAGCAGCAGCAGCAGCAGCAGCCTTAGCAGCAGCAGCAGCATCAACTCAACACATCAGCACTATACGATCGACTTTAATATCGGTACATGATTTACGTCTCAATGATTTTTCTAGCCCTTTGACATGCAAATACTGCAAATGCTATACAAGCCGAGTCGAGTGAACAGGATATGAGTATAGTATATGCTTGCCATATAGCCGTCAGTCAGTCATTCGGTCCGTCTGTCAGCTTGTTCGCTTAAAAATGTTTGAAGCTGGAAATGAAGAAAATTCCAGGTTTTACACACGCTGCACTTGTAACGTCGGTTCGCCCTTTGACACCTGATAAGTGTCATGCTCAAAGCACTCGACGAACCAAATACCCACAGCTTCAACTTCTTCTGCTGCTGCTGCTGCTGCTTCTTCCTCGTCATCTTTCTGTAATCAAATATGCAAACCAAATAACAAACGCAGTTGAAAGCAACTGAAAATAAATTGTAGGCGGTAATCTTAAAGCAGGCGCCATTAACAGCAGCAGCAAAAGCCAATTCCTTTCTTTATATTCCGGCCCAAAATTCCATACACATTTTCAATTAACTTTTCGCCCTGCAGCCCCTTTTCTTTATATGGCGTGTAGGCGTGCCAACGGAAGAATACAGAAACAAACAAAAAAGCAACAAAAAAGCGAGGAAAAAAATAACAAAAAGCGTCTAAAACAGCTCAGGTTATTACCAATAAAAGGTCACCCGAATTTCCTATATGAGCCTAGATGCCATTTGCCCCCAAGAAAATTAACATAAAAGAGAAGCCAGCGTCGAGCATCGAGCGTGAAACTGTTATGCTCATTGTTTCACATCATATTTAGTGGAGCCTACAATATGCATAATATTGTGCTTTTAATACCCTATGAGTGTGTCATAGAACGGGAAGTACTATGATGATGATTATGGGAAACAGTGTGAGCGACTTTAAGTATAGCCGTTAGCTTAAGAAATTCTGATCAATAAGATGATATAAGTAAAGTGCTGGGCATATATAGAATATTCATATTAGTTGAAAAATTTAAAATATATTTTTAATATATTGTATTTTTAAAACATTTTATTGTTTATTAATTTTATT